CTGTATAATTCCAGATAAAAGATAGAGTCCAATGAATTTAGTTATTTCAGGTGGCGTCACATCTTTCCATTTCCTAAACATTTTTGTCGTATTTCCTGCAACCGGCACTAATGTTGTTACACGATTATTTATTTCAGTTGCAACTTTATTTAATATATCATCGTCAAAGAATAATCTGAAGTAGGCAATAGGTTTGGCATTGTTGCCCAAAAGTCGATAAGGGATCAGTTTCGGTGTCAGTCCAATTCGTCTCATTATCAGACTCAGACTAAAAAGCTGGTGTAGCAGGAGGTGTAGAACTGTTTGAGTTTATTTTATCATCAGTAGAAGGGTCCGAATCGTTAAGTGATAAGTCAGCCAAACTTGTTAATGTGTAGGTTCGTCCTCGGAAGGATCTATAAGATCATCGTCACTGGAAAAATCGTTTTCGAAAGCTTACTCAGCTTCAGTAAGCTTTCTTTTTCGTCGTTGTAAATGGTTTTGATCCCTTGCCCTTGTATTTCGCGTACTAGAGCTAACCATAACACAGAATCTTTTATTTGTACAGTTTTAAACAAAGCACTTACCCAGGAACTGCTAAATTATCAGTTGCACTCATTGTTCTTACACAAGAAATACAACTACAACTAACTAAACACAGCAGTAAAGAACAAGAACTGGGTGTACTAATAAATGTACATTAGGGTGTCCCTTAAATTTCAATTTCAATATATTTTTACGCATACCTTCTATATTAGCCCGATTTATAAACGATAACCCGTGCCGACTTGAGTTTTTAACTTGTCCATACATGTTGCGCAGGTGCAGCGCTGCGACCTCTTACTGCGAGTTTCAATTGTCATTTCATACGTGATTTCTAACATTATTAGTGCGTTGTTGTTTATTGTGTGAAGATGTCTGTGGAATTAGGAAGTGATAAACAAAATATTTTTTCTGTTTTATTTTACAATATTCGTGAAGTCAAGCTGACTGTTAGTGAAAGTGCGAATCTTGTTATAAGAGAGTGCATTATATTTTGGGAAAAAGCCAGAATTCCTACGAAGGCATTTCCTAACTGCGTGAAGAAACTTGTTGATTTATATCATGTTTGGAGGGAGCTGCAAAAAAACTGTAAGAAAACTCAGGTGACGTTCAAANGCATTGCCGAATGCGAGTTCGAAAGTTCGCCATTACTCTAATCAACATTTCTTGAGGAATACGAGCAATCTCTTCTTGAATCGTTTGTCGTAGGGCTGGCAGAGTCCTCGGACGATATTTGTAAACTTCAGCCTTAAGAAACCCCCATACACAAAAATCACAGGGAGTTAGGTCTGGACATCATCCTGGCCAGTGGATGTTTCCGCGGAAAAACATCAAGCGTGATGGGAACAGCTGCCTCAGTTCTTGAAGAGATCTCCTACTTGTGTGGCCCCGTTCTGTAGAAGCCACTCATCCTGTTGAATCTGTATCGCATTGAATCGTGGTGTCATAGAAGTTTGAAACATTTGAATGTATCGATCCGAGTTAACAGTCACTGTCACTCCTCCTTCTTCAAAAAAGTAACGGGCCGATGATCCCGACACTGTTAATCACTCACCACACGGTAACACGTCTACTATGCAGAGGCTTTTATGAAGTTCCCGGAGGTTTTGTGCACTCCAATAACGGTAACTTCCGAATTCGCATTCGACAATGCATTGATAACGAAGGAAAACAGTTGAGCAATATACTGTTCAAAGAAAGAAACTTGTAAAACATAATAACGTAACTGCCCATTCTGTAGATTCGATTTTGAAGGTTTTTTATTGAACCTTCAAATTAGGGAGGGAGTTTTGCCGCTCCCTGTACAGGGTGGTTCAAATTCGATGTCCGAATAGGCTAACTCGGAAACTATAAGAGTTAGAAAAAAAGTAGCTTACATGTCATGATCTCGTTTTTCGAGAAACTGCTAATGCCGAAAACCTCATAGCGCTATCGTCTTTTGTTTTTCCCCTAGAGGCCAAAATTGGAAATATCGTAAAACCAGCAAGTGCAATTATCTTCGTTATTATTATAGGTGGAGTATTATAACTAAGACATTATATGGACACTTTTTTATAGAGAATTGGATGACGTAGTCAAAAAAATTTTTTCGGTTTTAGATTTTGAGATATTATCACAATTTTCGTTTTTTTAAATGGAAACAACCACTGATTATTCGCTTATTAAATTCGTTATTTTTTTCTGATTACAAAAATATAGGGTTCGACAGGTCTATTTCTTATTGTTTTAGAATAAAGCTAAAAATAAACTTTTTTTATAAAATTTCCATCTAGTGTCGTCGAGGAAATTAAATTTACAGTTTCCTGTAAGTTACGGGGCGGTAGGTAAAATCTAAAAAGTTAACAATTAAATACGAAGATAACTTCTGGTATTTAAAAACAAATAATTTTTTAATATGTAACATTCTAACATGTCAAACTTTTCAAAATTTTCGTAATTGATCTTAAAAACAGGATTTTTAAAGTGACATTTCAGAAAATTTTTGAATACAAACAAATGTTGCTATGTTTATTTGAATTAAAAAAAAAACATATGAGCGCCATCTATCGATAATTTATTAAGTCATTTAAAAATAATATTAAATCGTAATAAAAAATGTGAAATAATGCAATCTATTCCAACTTTTGTGTAAAACATATATAAATTAAACAGTTCAACAAATATATTTGTTTCAAATATCAGAAATATGTTTTTTTAATTTTTAATTATAGAACCGTAATTTACAGGAAACTGTAAATTTAATTTCTTCGACGACACTAAAAGAAAAGTTTATTTTTAGTTTTATTCTAAAACAATAAGAAATAGTAAAATACTTTTATCTTTCTGTACTTTTTATTAAAACGGATGTAATGTTATCAATTCTACCGGTTTCGGTCCTTTTATAAGACCATCTTCAGGATCTTTCGAATTTCGTCAATTTAATTATATTTTAAAGTTCTCGTGACAATTTGCATTTTGAAAACTCTATAAAGCGCCTTATTGAAAACTATCTAAGTTAATATTATTAGTAGAATTGCGTATCGAGTCCAAACCAACGAACAAGATGAAACTGTGTGTTCCAACTGTGCGCCTTCTGCAGTAGCTTTTTTCCGTGTACTATTCGTACTTTCAGGTTTGTGTTATTTACATGTTGGATAATACTGGACTTTGAATTTCTAAATTCTGTACCAACGTCCATTCAACTGGACACACCTAAATTTCTTCAAAGTCTCTATTTTCTTTTTCTAAATGCAACGCAAACCAAAATGAATACTACGGCTACCCCCAAAATATTACAAAACATAATTATTGTGCATTGTGCCAAATTCTGAAGCATGGATCTACGCATAATCCAGGGTTTTCTGGGCATATCGGGCAGTTGTATCTAGATTTCTTGTGAACTCCACCTCTGCTACACTAGCGACACCTCTTCATCACGGATTTGTCTTTCTAATTGGCCTAGTATATCCTTTGTAACTTCTTCTCTGAACCTCAAGAGATCAATTTTGATTGTATCTCTTTCCTTCTTATATATGTAATAGGCATTCTACACTGCAATATCTATAAGATGAAAGAACACTTTTCTGTACCATTGAAGCTGAGTAGTATCTCATCATCTGGTCTGATCTGTCTATCCCGGACATGTATTTATTGTAGACGAGAACACACTCTGGTTTTATTACTTGTTTTTTCTTCTATTTGTCCAATCTCTTGTCCTTCAAGTGTGTAACCAACACTGGAACTTTTCTTTTCCATGCAGCTTCTTCTTTCTTGATTTTTTCTTGAAATAATTGTTTCTGATTTCCTTTTCTAAATTTTCGCAAAGTTCCTACAAGATTCGTCTTCCTTTTGAACAAATATTTAGAGTTCACTAGTGTAATAATTATCAAGGTATATTTCATGCCCTTTAACCAAATAGTCTTTTAGTAGCTCCGTTATGACTGAAAACGTGTGGGAATGCTCTTGACCATCGTCTATTATAGTGCCTCTTCCAGTATAGACAAATATATTCAAAACAAAACTATGGGAAGTTGTGCTCCATTGCTTTGACAACCGAGAAAACTGTATAATTCCAGATAAAAGATAGAGTCCAATGAATTTAGTTATTACAGGTGGCGTCACATCTTTCCATTTTCTAGACATTTTTCTCGTATTTCCTGCAACCGGCACTGATGTTGTTGCACGATTATTTATTTCAGTTGCAACTTTATTTATTATATCATCGTCAAAGAATAATCTGAATTCTTGGACTGACTGAATAATCGAATTGGACTGACAGAATGTGTCAGTCCAATTAGTCTCATTATCAGACTCAGGTTAAAAAGCTGGTGTAGCAGAAGGTGTAGAACTATTTGAGTTTATTTTATCATCAGTAGAAGGGTCTGAATCGTTAAATGATAAGTCAGCCAAACTCGTTAATGTGTAGGTTCCTCCTCGGAAAGATCTATAAGATCATCGTCACTGGAAAAATCGTTTTCGTTTAAAATTTCTGATAAATAGTCAACTATGTAGTCTAACTCAGCTTCAGTAAGCTTTCTTTTTCGTCGTTGTAAATGGTCTTGATCCCTTGTATTTCGCGTACTAGAGCTAACCATAACACAGAATCTTTTATTTGTACAGTTTCAAACAAAGCACTTACCCAGGAACTGCTAAATTCTCAGTTGCACTCATTGTTCTTACACAAGAAATACGACTACAACTAACTAAACACAGCAGTAAAGAACAAGAACTGGGTGTACTAATAAATGTACATGCATAGGGTAATCCCCGTATTCATATTTCAAACATGAAAAAATAATTAATGCTAAACCGAATTAGGTGTTCTACCTATATTTGCCATGTGGCGCCACATTTACTTCACTAACGCTAAATTCTGGACATATATGGTTTAATTTTTACAAAATACATTCAGTCCAGCCTAGACTTTCTTAAACTGGACTTAAACTACTAAAAAAAACTGTTGTAATATTTACTAAAGACTTGTTTTTCTTTATTTTCAGATAGTCAATCTCAACAATATGGCGAAGTAAACCAACTAGGTGGAGTTTTTGTAAACGGACGTCCCTTACCAAATCCAGTTCGATTAAAAATCGTCGAATTATCACAAATTGGAATCCGCCCTTGCGATATTTCTCGACAATTACGCGTCTCTCATGGTTGTGTTTCTAAGATTTTGGCGAGATACAATGAGACTGGTTCAATTCAACCAGGAGCAATCGGAGGTTCAAAACCGCGAGTTACTACGCCGAAAGTGGTCGCTTACATCAAAAAGCTTAAACAGAAAGATCCGGGGATTTTCGCGCATGAAATAAGAGATCGTTTGTTATCGGATGGAGTTTGCGATAAATATAATTGTCCGTCGGTTAGTTCAATAAGTCGGATTTTAAGGAATAAGATAAGAACGTTGGTTCATTCGGGAAATAATCATCACGGACATGCTTTGTATAATATGTATCCAACTTATTCAGGTTACCATCAACAAAAAATAACAAATTCCGGTTCAAATCAGCGTTTAAATGGCAGTTGTTGGCCAAGTTCTCATACGGTTAATAATATTTTGGCCGTCGCTGATCCGCACGGGTTTCGACCACCGTCACATTTGACATCTTCAGGTACTAATTTAACCGCCGGATTAGCGCCGAACGTTGCAGAACAAAATTATAATTATTATTATATGTTGAATTCTGGAATGACCGGACATCATTCACTTTAAAACGACTGAATATTTTTGAAAAAAAATGTTACATTATATTAGTTTTTAAGTATTTATATTGTGTACATAATATAATATTTTCGAAATAAAAACATATTTCTCAAAAAAAATGTACATACTTGTTTATTTATTTTATGTTTTTTGGTTTGTTGTCGGTCAAAGAAGAAAGAGATCTTTGCTCGAAAATGTAGGCGTGGTTTTAGATGGTAATAAGTCTTGAGAACTTGAGATGCCATCGAAAAACCGAACCCAACCCTCTCTCTTTTTTTGACTGCGGTGTGTTTCCTGTGACAAAATTAAAAAATGCCTTCGACAATCTTTAAAAGTCGGCTTTCTTTGAGTTCTTTTGAAACGGCAACAGAAGAAATATAAATTTACAAGGTCGTTAACACAGATGCTACACACTTACATGGTGCAACCAGATCCATCGTGCAAATTCTTTACAAATGTGGTTATTTTTTACAATTTGATACTTAATCATTAAAAAATTATTAATACATAATTTAGAAAGTAGGATTATTTTAAAAAACGTAATCAAAAATTATTCGTAATAAATAAAATGGTACTTTATTTGTTGCAAATCTGGAGAAGATATAAAAATGAGAATTTTAAGGGAAGAGTCTTTTAATAGATCATTTGGTCGTAACGTTGTCGGGGTGTGACCGACCAGCTGATTGACATGCGTTTGAAGTTGTCACGTGTGTGAGTTGTGGACACGTGCGCGATCAACCGACCGTTTACCGTTTAATAGCAAAAACGGTCGTATTTGGAGTGCTTTTAAAATCCGCTTTAAGAGAGCTTTAAATCGTCCAAGTACTAAAAGACCGCACGCAAATGCTGCGAATTTAAACGAATTGCAACGGACCACCATGAGATTAAAATGATATAATTCGTATAAATAATCTTCCTTTGAGGAGATAAAGTTCCATGTGATAGATGTGTTGATGCAATTTTACTAACATTTTTCTTCTATAACTTTAATGACTTAGTCTTAATGAATTAATTTTTTTGGGGTTGAGTTGAAAATCTATTAACTGTTGATAATTAAATGTATTATTTTGTTATGAACCCCAGTACGAATTGTTTATGCATCGTATATTTTGTAGTTTGTGTATGATATTTTTGTAATTTTATTCTCTACTCAAGTTATTAACTTTTTATATTTTCATCAAATAATCAAGTTTCAGATTCTTCAGTTCTCTCATTGTCAGAAAATCATATTCCGATAAAACTCTTATCCAGTCAATTGTATTAACAGAACTGTATACGTTGTAAGAGCACCAATCATCTATAAGAGCAAATTGCTAATTTATTAACCTAATCAAGATTATTACTTACCGATACAATAATATTGTAATTAATCACAAAAAATCCAGCGGCATTTATAGAATATTCCTCATAAAGGAGTTGTAAAGAAATAAAATGTACCTGAAAACAAAATAATATCCTGAAATATACTTCTAAATTATTCCTTTAATTTTTACCTCATTTTTTAGATTTTCTCGATAAACCATTAACTTGAAAAAAATATCTTTGATTTTCTTTCTTTCTTGATTAAAATTGTGGCAATTACAAGTACAAATTATTGTTCCAAATGTTGACATAAACAACATACCAAATACTTGGATAATATAAGCTGGGGTTATCAAATCGGAATCATTTAAAGAAAGGATAATGATGTAACATTGCATTACAAGTAAAACAAAATTTCTTCCGTACATCAAAAGAAATTGAATGGAGGTTTCTTGGTTTAAATTCTTTGCTAATAACTGAATGTTGACCAAAACCAAAGAGATTTGTTGTAGTTTCGCTACATTTTGGTGTTTAAAATTTGATAGATATCGATTAATTTCAAAACAGAAAGATTTTAAAATATAAATAACAAAACTTCGATGTAAAATAAACGCCGTTGGAACTAAAAAGTTTAAGGCGGTTATAATATCGCCGTCTGATGTGATTAAGAGTTGATTTAAATATCGATTTTTAACAATAGCACTTCCGCTAATTAAAAAAATTACCAAAAAATAGCTCCATAACCATATTCGAATGATTATTTTTACCTTTCTGTAAGGGATTTTTATGTTAATCTCTTTTAATTTTTCTTCCGTTTGATGTAATGAGTTTAAAAGTTGTACAATTTTATTGGAATTTATTTTTACAATAATTATCGTCCATAAAAATAAAACCAGATCCATTATAAAAAAACTAGAATAACTCACCAACATTATTAACGACCTCCTTGTTGGCGATAATAGTATTAATGAAGAATATAAATTAGCCAAAGAGTAAAAACCTTGAATTATTGCAAATATTATGTTATAACATCGAGAAGACAATTTATATTTTTGATTTTCGCTTGAAAAATAATAAGGTGATATTCCCAGGAATTTAGAATATTTAAAGATTGGGTTTAAAACCCAAAATATTGTATCTTCTTTCATCTCAATAATAATAATTAAAGAAGTAATAATCAATTATGTGGGTGAACTCTGTGGATATATTGTAACAAAATTTTGGAACTTGTGGTGCAATTTGCAGTTAATGTACTCATATAGGGTTGATAAATGAAATATGTAATATCGTAAATGGACTACGATATATTGATGGTTTTAATAGAGTTGTTTAGTTATAAGAAATTAATGATTTGAATTATTAAAGTCAATTTTCTATAATGATAAAATATAAGGGGTGAAAATAAAAAAGATCTTATCGATAAGTGTTTATACAGTGTGCATCAAATATAAAATACTTTATATTTTTATAAATATATTTCCTCACAACCTCGTGATAGTCAAGAAGTAATAAATACAGCAAAATTACACAGTGCAACAGCCATTCTGGGGGGGTGAAAAATTTTAAGTCAGGGTGAAAGTACTAGGTCAATATAGTAAAACCTCCAAAGGGTTTGACGTTCCCAGGCCAAACTTTTTTTTATGACCTTTTATATTTCTTTCCTTATCTTGATATTTTTTTGCTTAGTTTTTCAGTTATAACGCTAGAATCATTGATGATTTCTCATTTCATCCTTCAGCAAAGATTAAGGCTTAGCTAAGGCTTAAATAAATAATTTTCATTAATATATCCATGTAAAAAATTAAGTTGGAATAATTTTATCGACTGAAATCTTCAAAAAATTGTCAACCTCCGAAAAAAAAAAATTTCTAGAATTGTAACTATAAAAGAGTATTCTAATATAAGTATATAGTAATATATAGTAGTAGTATATTAGAGAGAGAACAATATTTATTTGGAATATAAAAATAATAACTATAACAAATACGAATAAATAAAAAAAAAATACATACAGGTGTCCCGTTAAGCGTACGAAGCGGCTGTATCTCTAGAACGGTAAGGCCAAGAGGTTTGGGAAAAAAATCCTTATAAGCAAAGTGACCAAGAGAAATAGCTGGAAATTATTTTGAAGTTCGTAATTCGACCGCTAGGGGGCGTAACTGCCATTGAGAAACATAAAGGTGCCGCTATCTCAGAAACTTAGACGATGAGCTATAACTTTGACAACATCATTTAATAGCTTGGATAATACCGCATCGCTTTTGTTTTGCGATATTTCTCATATCTGTCATAATAAGGGAGGGGGAGGCCAATGCGTTTTCATATGTTTACATTTTAATATCTCCTAGACCATTCAACCGATTTGAATGTTTTCGGTGTTGTTTGAAAGAGCATTTTATGCTCTTTTTAAAGATATTTTCAGTAAGACCGTCTGCTTTAAAACAAATGAGCTAGAGGACGTTATCTGCAGCGATTACATATTTTTGTGATTTTTGAAGAAAAGTTAAATGGAACGATACTATTTACTTCACAGACCCTTAGTCACCTTAAAATTTGCTAAATTTTAGTGAAAACCGCATCTCGATATCGCCACCCGTTCTCGAGTTATAGAAGAAAATGTTAAAAACTCGAGTGCCATCAATCGGATCCAGTTACCTCATCGAGAAAAACAAATCACATTACCATGGTAACTGTAAACATGTCATTTACTAACGCAGAAGCGTATGATAGAGCGTATGATGATTTATTTTCAATGTTTCGAATACGATGCAACTGCATGGCAAAAATGTGCAATGCAATTACGACAAAGAAAGACATTTTTCTCTAGAAGTGTTTTTAAGATTGACTTAGCGATTACGGAAAACTGGCAACGTGTAGCCCATTCAGACATCTCTATGAATTCGTAAATCATATTGGTGCGCAATGTGATCCCACATAATCTGGGAACTCCGAAAACAATTGTCCACAAGAGTTCTCAAGAGAATAATATCTCCACCACGTTGTTTTACATCAGGCCTTAACAGATACCGATTATGATAACAGACTGAACTATTACCATTGACTTTTAAATATGATTTGGGCAAATCCAAACCTTTTATCACAAATGCTATGGATGCATGAAGCATCTGTCCACAAGCTGATGTAAACTTGCATAATATGCATTCTTGGTTCGAGCAAAACCCACATTGCTTTCACCCCTTTATCTATTGGGTAGACTAAACGACCTGACTTTTCAAGAAAAACCAATAACCAGGGAAAATATGACAAAACACTAAATACCAGTAGAAACGTGTCCAGGGCCGAGACTTAAGCAGCGCTTTTTTTTCGTCGAAACTAGATTAAATAAATGCATCGAGGTTTATGGAAGGCATTTCGCACATTAGTGAGTTATTTTTGCCAAAAATTTAAGTTATTCTAAGTGTTTTGGTTTATTTTGTTTTATTATCATTGTTGATGTTTCATTGATCCGTTGGCTTTTCAACACGCCTCAAAAGTAGTTTTGAAGCAGTTCTAAGCTTGGATAAAGTGTGAAGGAAGGTTCTAGATAATAAAATTTTTGTTCTCTCTTATTTGTTTCCTAAGGTAACTTGATCCGATTAAGATATACGAATTTTTAACATTTTCTTTTATAATTCGAGAATGGATGGAGATATCGAGATGCGGTTTTCACTAATATTTAGCAAATTTTATGGTGATTAACGGTCTGTGAAGTAAATAGTACCGTTCCATTTAACTTTTTTTCAAAAATCACAAAAATATGTAACCGCTGCAGATAACGCCCTCTAGCTTATTTGTTTTAAACCAAGCGGTCTTACTGAAAATATCTTTTAAAAGAGCATGAAATGCTCTTTCAAACAAGACCAAAAATATTCAAATCGGTTGAATGGTCCAGGAGATATTAAAATGTAAACATTTGAAAACGCATTGGCCTCCCCCTCCCTTATTATGACAGATATGAAAAATATTGCAAAACAAAAGCGATGCGGTATTATCCAAGCTACTAAATGATGTTGTCAAAGTTATAGCTCATCGTCTAACTTTCTGAGATAGCGGGAATTTTATGTTTCTCTATGGCAGTTACGCCCCCTAGCGGTCGAATTACGAACTTCAAAATAATTTCCAGCTATTTCTCTTGCCCACTTTGCTTATAACGATTTTTTTCCCAAACCTCTAGGCCTTACCGTTATTGAGATACAGCCGCTCCGTACGCTTAACGGGACATCCTGTATATAAATCAAATATAAGATAAGTCCAAAAGGGAGACCTGAGTGTTCCTGCCCGAAGAGTATTGATTTTATGAAAATTAACAAAAATTAAGGCCAAACGTAGTTTAAAGAAGAAGAGTTCTATAATTATTAAAAATTCATCAAGCTGATGATTTACTATTTTGCTATCGTTGGTTATTACTTGAAATGAAGCGCGAATTTGCTTTTGATGATTCGTTGAGGATGTTGGAGGTGTTGTGGAGTTCTCTTCTCTTATCTTGCACCTAATAAAAACTTTATATTGAAGAGAAAGTTTCTTTTGATTACAACGCCATCTTTATTTTTATACAATAAAAAATAACAATACTTAAGAACTGAAGTCATTTACGAATTCTAACAGCAATTTTTTACAAAACTACAATTTTTCAACCCATTCCATAGATACTTGGCCTGCGAGTTAGTTTAAGTGAAACACCTTGTACAACAACAAATTCAAAACGAAGGTGTAAAACATTAAAAATGTAATGGGTAGTGAATTATTGATAAATAATGGTATCCATATGGTGTTTGAATTGTTATACAGGTGTATCAGGTTTGAAAGTTTAAGTACTGCTGTATAAAGAATTATACTAAGCAGGCTTTGCTTATGTATACAGGGTGAGTCAAAAAGAATGGGAAATCCGAATACCGGAGATATTAGACACCAAAATAAGTAACATCTCTTATACAAATGTCAGTGGTTTTCGAGGCATAGTGTGTTAAAAGTTAAATTCTTATTTCGAAATTTCTTGATAATTTTGAAGTTTTTTGTACTATCAACATAAAATTTGGTAGTTTTATGTTTTCGAGCATGAGAAATACGAATTTCAAACTTGTTTTGTTATTGCTCGTAGAGGGCGCTAGATACACGCTGCTCGTTTGATAAATCAAATCATAAGTTTTTTGGCTCGACAGCTACGACCAATAAGAGCTGCAAATCACAAAGAGCATTCAATTTTACATAAAAAAGGTACTCTTATTGAAATTGTCTAAGTCTTTCGGTTTTCGACATATTTACTTTTAAATGTTTAAATGTATTTTTTCTTCTGAAATATTTATTTTCTAACATAAGCAAAGTTGGGTTATTTTTCGGCTTATGTTTCGACAATTGCCTGTTAATTGTCAACATTGATCTAATTTCTGTGTGCAATAATCATTTTTACCAACAATAAAGTTATTACCAATTTGAAAATGTCACGACATAATGAGTTTTTTAATAGTGAGTCCTCTGGATTTTTGAAAATGGTCACAATATTCTATTGTTATTAATTAATTGTTATTGTTATCGATTATTATCGTTATTAATTGCTATAGTTACTGTGTGTTATTGATTTTAAATGTTAACCTTAAAATTACTTTGAAACAATTAAACCCAATTATCACCCGGCACTTTTGGTTAATATGGGGGTATCTCCTCCGTTGCATTCGACGGCTCAGAGTCTGCATGGTGATGCCCGATATTCTTTCAGGAGGGCTGATCTGCATAACCTATATGAAGCATTATTAAATGTCGATTGGAGTTACTTGCTATCTCAGTCGTCGGTTGAGCGTTCATGTGAGGTTTTTTTATGGTGAGCTATACTCTGTTATGGACACGTATGTTCCTAAACTCAGAAGGAAACACACAAGGTCGAGGTATCCTGTATGGTACACTGCGGAACTGAATAGAATGCTTAAATTAAAAAAGCATTACCACAAATTGTACAGAAGGACCCATTGCAGTTATCATTACACAAGATATAGTCGCCTTCGCCGAGACAATAAATCACGTATTCGGGATGATCGTCGTAGATATGTCGGGTCTTTGGAGAGAGATATAAAAGACAATCCCAAAAATTTTTGGAACTTTGTTAACATGAGTAGAAACAACTTGAACTCCCCAAGTGTTCTGAAATGGAATGGTAAAACCATAACCGATTTACCTACTATAGTGAATTTATTTGCTGACCATTTCGAAAGTATGTACAGTCGTACCTCATTCGCTGCCTCCAATAGTCACCATATCAATCCTGTTATGACTGGGGTTTCTTTCGGTATCTCTGAAATTAGCTATGGCGAAATGGTGGAATCCTTCAATAGATTTAAGGCAAAAAATACAACCGGGCCAGATGGCATTCCTGCATTTATAGTTAAAGACTGTGCACCTGCATTTCTGCAACCACTGCAACATATTTTCAATCTAATTGTAAGGAACTCTGATTTTCCGGAAACCTGGAAATTGAGCAGAATTTGTCCTGTTTTCAAAAAAGGTGATAGGTGCTGTGTGATGATCTATCGGCCAATAGCTATTATAAATAACTTCGCGAAGCTGCTTGAACAAATCGTAGCATACAAGATGGAATTCTACACCAAAGCACGAATGTCTGAACATCAACATGGTTTCTGCAAAGGTAGATCCACAGCCACTAACCTGTTGAGTTTTACCGAATACGTATCTAGGGCACTAGATCGCCGTGGACAGGTGGATGTCATATACACGGATTTCTCACGGGCCTTCGATTGTTTAGACCTCTTCTTGTTGACGGAAAAGTTGGAGAAGTTTGGGTGTGATTGTTCTCTTATACGGCTTCTGTCATCCTATGTGTCAAATCGAAGACAATACGTCGAGTTGGCTGGTATTCAATCGAGAAAAATAAGCGTTACTAGTGGCGTACCTCAAGGATCCATACTTGGCCCTCTACTGTTCAATATTTTTGTGAATGACTTACCAATGAGCTTTAGCACCAATGCCCTATTGTACGCAGATGATCTGAAGTTGTTTACTACTATTGGTAGTGAACAGGATTGCATTTCACTTCAGTTGGACTTAAATAAACTCTACTCGTGGTGTACTACTAATAGATTGATTCTGAATACTTCCAAATGTCAGGTAATGACATATAGCCAGAAACGTAACACCATCAATTTTGATTATGAACTTGGGACTGACTGCCTATCGCGCATTTCTGTGGTGAGGGATCTCGGTGTATGGTTCGACACTGGTTTGTCTTTCAATGTACATGTTGACAAGACGTCGACGAACGCCCTCAGAACACTTGGATTTATAACGAGAAATAGTTTGGAATTTGCTCATATAAACACAATAATAAAACTCTACTTTACACTCGTAAGAAGCAAACTTGAATATTGCTGTATTGTTTGGTCACCATCTTATTTAAGGTACATCACCACCATCGAGAGGGTACAACGTAAATTTGTTAGATTCATGCATTTCCTGGACTTTGGTCATTATCCGCCTCGAGGGGAATTGAACTATCCATATCTCTCACATCGTTATGGACTCCAGAGCCTTGAAGACAGAAGGAAGTGTATGTCAGCAAGATTTGTTCGGGATGTGATGTCGGGTGTGGTGGTTGCATCGGGTGTTTTGTCGCAATTGAATATAAAAGTTCCGAGGTTTGGTGCTCGTGACTTTAATGTTTTTACTACCAATCGCGGTCACACAAATATTGGACTAAATTCCCCATTCAACAAATTAATGCGAGCTGCTAATACGACCGAATGTGTATCATTCTTCGATGTTTAACTTAGCAGTTTGTTAAATTATTGTTATTTGATTTTTCATTGAATATGTTTTCTTTCTTTTTCTTTGTATATATTTACTTCTTATTATGTCAATTAATGTACGTTCTTAGGCTTAATTATGTTGTTTATAATATTATCTCTCTTTTTGGAAAACAAATTTCTGTTGGGATAATAAAGTTATTATTATTATTATTATTAAAAAAGCAGATAACTTGGAAACCAGTAGACTTAGACAATGTAAGCAAGAGTACCTTTTTTTGTGCAGAATTGAAAACTTCTTCGGATTTCTGGTTCTAATTCATCATACCCTCAACTGACAAAATAGTCATGACTTGATATCTCAAACGTACATTGTGTATCTAGCGCCCTCTATGAGTAATCACAAAACAAATATCAAATTCGTATTTCTCATGCTCGAAAACATCTAACTACCAAATTTTATGTTAATAGTACAAAAACCTTCAAAATTATCAAGAAATTTCGAAATAAAAATTTTACTTTCAACACCCTGTATATTAAAAACCAAGACGGTATTCGGATTTCCCATTTTTTCTGACTCACCCTGTATAGCTTTAATTTGACACATAAAAGTCATTTTTGAGATGTTTTTAGAGGTTGTTTACTTCATAGGAATAAATTTATCACTCTTTAGTGTGAAAATTTACAAAAATTTTTGTTTTAATAAATAAACTTGCTTATTGTATTAAAAACAACAAAATTACAAAACTAGAAACAAATTGCAAAGCAAAGCCTGCTTAGTATAATTTATAATTCATTAACCAGTAGTACTCAAACTTGTGAACCCTTAACTTTATCGTATCATATCTTAAGAAGGACAAAAAATGGGACATTGTGTTATAAGAATTTTTTATTTAGAAAGAGGAGACCTATAACCTCTCAAATTTTTTCTACTCATATCTGATACACCTGTATAGTAGAACTATAAAAGTATTCCACATTAAACAAGAACATATGAAGAAGAGCTAGAACATATGGTGCGCGAATGAGATTCCACGCGTTATCACCATATACATATAGTTGTATTATTACACATAGATAGACATATCATAGTTAAAATACTAATAACTTCAAAATATAATACTAAAATACAATTTATTTCCCATTATTTTCACTCATCATTGTAGGTATTTTATAAAAAAATTGTAACAATTAAAAAGCAAATGTAATAATTACAGAACAAAAATATAAAGGCTTAATGACCATATTCTCTTGGTTGATAATGTTGGGTAATCCAAGGATGCACCATAACCCCTTTTAACTGCAATCTTTTATGCGCTTGAATAACCAATAACTAAAAATAAAATACATTAAAATTTAGAACAAACATTGATATTAAAATTATTTTTTCCTAAACTTGTTTCTTTCAAGGTAGCTTTTTTGAATAAAATGATTATTTTAAACCTACTTTCTTGATTAAATCAACAGCCCCAAGTGGAACACAGCTAGGATACCTCATCTTCAATGTTTTGATTTTTTGATATGTTTCCTCACTATCCTTTGATTCAAAAGGCGGTCTTCCAACGCAAAATTCATAACAAAGTATTCCCAAACACCAATTGTCTACATAGTTGCTATGCTCACAATTGTTAACCATTTCTGGGGGTAAATAATCCAATGTGCCACACATTGTATTTCTTCTCAAAGAAGGCGCGTGTACTGACCAGCCAAAATCAGATATTTTCACATTATCTTCGTAAGTCAACAGGATATTTTCAGGCTTTAAATCGCGGTGAATAACGTGATTTTTATGGCAATACTCCAATGCATCTGCCACTTGATAAACATACTTAGCAGATCTAAACAGAAAATAACTTGTTAACAATAAAAATGTATTGAAGAAGTAATTTTACCTTTCTTCTGGAAATCTCCCATCCGGACTGTTTTTTAAATGATTATACAACTCTCCTTGTCCTGCATATTCTAAAACCAAGTAAATTCTGAATTCATCCTGGAACCAGGTGAGTAATTGAAGAATGTTTGGGTGTCTACAAGAATTTCATTAAAAATGTATATTATAAAATTGATATTATTTTAAAAATATACTTTAAATGTGTTTGAATTTCAATTTCTCTTAAAATTTGTCGTTCAACACCTCCATTAACAACTTCCTGCTTTTTGATGGTTTTTAAAGCGACAACGTAATGTGTTTTCCTTTCTCTTGCACTATAAACTCTTCCAAATTTTCCACGGCCCAAGCGATGTCCCAATTCAAAATCATTCAAAGACCATTTGTAACTAAAATAACAAAATTAATCATTTTCAAATTAATTAAGACCATGTCTTTACTTACTCTGCATTACCGTAAGCATCATGAGACATCATCGAGGAGATCAATTCAATTGTAGATTCCTTATACTTTGATGGAACTCGTCTTTCATCAACTTTTTTTCGAGCAATTTCTACGATACGATCCATTTCCGCCATCTGTATGTTTTAAAATTATTAAGATCCCTTAAAAGAACACTAAGATTAACTTGGGAATAAAAGGTTTATGTAAAGAAATTAAATTCAACGGTTAGCTTTTACTTGACGGTTATAAAAACGATTTTAAATGAAGAATTATGACAGAATGTTTTTTGACAGCCATATGAAGTTGGCTACAAAAACGATCTTGCTTTTGATTGGTTGAATTTTCGATTTAAACTTTTAGGTTAGGTTATCGATATTCGAATTTTCAAATAACTCCTAAGGACGGAAACGTTTAAGTTTTGAGATTATGTTGCAATGTAATTAATTTAAATTATTTAAAAAAAATTTATTTAAACATAGTACTCGAAAAAGCTAGAAAGGTTATTACAAAGATGGCTCATAGCCCCAAGAGGGAAGTTTTGTGGTTAATAGGGGCTAAAACTCGTAAATGGTTAGCTGGTAATGTCCCTGTAGCCCGAGAAACCTTATTTTTAGCTTTCCAAGCTAATCCAAATCCCGATTTCCCCAAACACGGGTTTACAAACAAAGCTAAATTTCAAAAAGCTTTTGATGCTTATAACTTTGGCAGTAAAAAGTGGCGAACTCCAACGAAATTAGAAGAAAAAGGAATTTGTTAATTAAAGATTGATCGATTCTTGAAAAAGTTCAGCTTAAAAACCCCAAAAACGATCAAATTTGGTTTGAAGCAAAAGACAGTATTGAAGAAATGTGAAAAACTAAGAAAGTTAATAGAAGAATAGTAAATTTTTTTGTCTACTGTATGTAAATGTTGATCTGTAATTATGTACATGATAAAAAGCAAAAAATGTTAATTTTTCAAATTTTTTCCATAAAAACCTTTTAAAATTCTTTGTTACGTTACAAAATCCTTGAATTCCATGGAGGAGAGAAACTTTTTATTATTTTTAAACACCTCGCAACGACTGTTGATGTGATGTTGTAGTTAAAAGCTGTTAAAAATCGAATAAAATCGGTTTTATATTTTATTCAGCTTTTAATTTCAACATTGAATTTACAGATTTACCAAAACCCACGATTTTTTTTAATGAAGATTACTTTTTAATTAATGTAATGAATAACCAACCAAATACTAACCAAAAAATAAATGAGATTTTAATGATACATCCGTTTTTGATTGAGATTAACTGGAAATTTCATCAGTATCAAGATTGAAAATGTCTAAAAAGTATCAATATATATACAGTAAGTAAAAAACTAAGAATTATCAGACATTAACCTTTTTGTATGTATGTATGTAGGAAAGCGGAGGGTATGCTACGCACACAGCACCTAGGCCCCAACGGGCTCCTTGTACATCCTCCTACACTGTCTCCGGCTACATCAACCAGCCTAAGGAATTTCCGAAGGCTAGGATACAGCTCAGAGGTGTGTTCCTGATGCCATCTGTGGTCGGCCATTCCTCTCCGAAGTCTCTCATTCTGAGGTCTTGCATTCACACAAGATGTGTCGGACCGTCTCCTCGCTCTCTTTACAGAGGCGACAGAGAGGACTAACAGCAAGCTTAAGGTTATAAAGATGCTTGTTTACCTTACAGTGACCCGTGACGAGTCCCGTTACAGTTCGTAGAGCGTTTCTACCAAGCCTTACGAAAGACAAGGCTGCCTCTGCTGAAGGATAATGTAATACTTCCTTAGACAGATGGCAACCCTTAACCCTATCCCACCAGTTCATGAACTTTTTGTGGGTAAAATCTTTAATTATCTCAATCTGAGTTGATAAGGACGGAGCGATTATCGGTTCAGGCGAACATGGCGCTCGCTTGGCAGCCCTTTTGGCAAGCCTATCAGCGTGCTTGTTACCTGAACAAGTCGAGTGTCCTTTTATCCATTGAAGTAT